GAATGACGAGAGGAGAGTTTGAGTTCCAGACGTAAAACTCATTGTCTACATGCAGGAAAAGCCTCTTATGCGTTCTAAACCCCCATTTTTTCATCTGTAACATATGACTAATAAGATCTGGTTGGCATGTCCCAGGGAGGTTATTGTAACAATTTTGTAAAATATGAAAAAGATTTCTTTGAATGAAGTAAAGCCACAAGCCAGCCAGACCCTAAACATCAGGCATTTGCAGCCACAGCTGAATCGACTGTTTCAGTAGTTTGTTAGGGTCCTGATTAGTTTTCTAAGGAAAACAATGTGTTAATTGACAATGGCTATTGATAGCCATTGATTACATATTACAGAGGTGGATTAGTTCGAGTCCTTCTGAGCTATCCTTTAAAAGAGAAAAGAGAAGGAGAAAGGAACCGTATGACAGTGACAGTGTTTCCTGAGTGCTCAGTAAATATTAGCCAGCATAACAGTAATTGTCTTCATCATCATCCTTCGTCCTGAGAGGTCTGACACTCCAAATGCACTGCCGTCAAACTCATCAACAGTCTTAAGCGTACATCCTTCACCTTCCCAATCCTTGCATAGTCTTGTTTCTTGGGGGCCATAATTTGGTCTCAGCAAATAACTTCTTTGGATCTTCAAAGAGGTATTCTAATTTGCCTTCAAACGCCTGTCTACTCACTGCCTTTCTGCCTGAACTACCAGCCTATAAAGGAAAGAGAAAGTTCTCTTAACCAGTTTGTGCCACCATCTAACAATTAAATCTGCTCACAAGTAATTGCAGTCGTAATGGTAATAGTAACACTACCAGTGGTAGCAACAGCTCGCAGTAGCAATGACGATAAAATAGCTTACCACTTACGGAGCACCTGCTAGTTGCAATGTGCTGTGACAAGTATTTCACCTGCAGTAGTTCATTGAATCCTCACAACCACCCCAGGAGACAGGTTCTATTATTATGCACATTGTATGTATTACAACTAAGTCATAGATTGGCTGAGTGACTGGAGTTCACGTAGCTAGTAAGTGCCCTTTGGGGACAGGTCACTTCTTAAGTGGGAACTTGGGGCCAGTATAGGGGAAAAGCACCAGTCTTTATTTTTGGCGTTCTGGAACGACTCCCACGTCTCCAGGCTCAGCTTCAGCCACATCTGGATTGCTTCTATCGCTCGGTAATGTGCAGGTCACCCCTGGTGTCTAGAGTCACAAATCCGAGCTCCCCGCTTACTAGTTTTGTGATCTAGGCAGAATTTAGTGTCTTCTTGTCTCAGTTCCTTCATTGTAAAATGGCCAGACTTAACTTCACGTGATTGTTGGGATAATTAAGTGCTGATGTGCAATGTTTAGTCCAGTGGGTGGCACTCTTGAGGCTCCACACCCTCCCATAAAGCAGTGGTGGTTATAGAAGATGTCAGGCAATGTCAAGGTTGTAGAAAATACACGATTATTCCTCTCTTTAAAGTTAATTAGTTCATAAGACATTCATGATAAAACTCATAAGTATCACTATGTGATTGCCTTCAAAGAGGTAAAGATATTAAATTTTATAAAGGTTTCAAGAAGGGTAAAATGTATGTGCTTTGAAGAGTGGGTGGACAGCTTCACGGTCAGAGGGTGTGTGTGCAGGGTGTGTGAGGCCAGGCCAGGGCACAGGTGCTCCGACTGTCCCAGGAGAGAATAGTTTGCCTCAGGGAAGCAACATGACCAAAGAGGAATGAGATGAAACATTTGCAGAACAGTGATGGGGCCACCTCATTAGAGAAGAGGGTTTGCTTTAATAATATTAAGAGATAAGACCAGGTATATAGTAGATGTGTTAATTAACTCAATGGGGAGAATCCTTTTACAATGTATTCATATGTCAAATTATTACATTGTATACTTTAAATATCTTAGAATTTTATTTGTCAATTATACCTTAACAAAGCTGAAGAAAAGGAAGATCAGGTAGACAGGATGGACCAAACTTATGTTGTATAAAACAATACTTTTGTTCACACTGTTCTCTTTTTGGAGTACCCTTCATGGGCAATTCTGGCTAATAAAATCATGACCATTTTTTTTGTTAAAAAAATGTTTTTATTATTGATTTAGAAAGAGAGCAAGGGAGAGGGAGAGAGAGAAACACTAATGAGAGAGAACATCGATTGGCCGCTTCCTGCATGCTCCCCACTGGGGATTTGGCCCACAACCTAGGCATGTGCCCTGACCGGGACTCGAACCGGCGACCTCCTGATGCATGAGTCAGTGCCCAACCACTGAGCCACACCAGCCGGGCTCATGACCATTTTCTAAACAGTCGTTCAAATACTATATTTTGCAAGAAGACTTTTCTCCCTGTTAGCAGAAAGTTTTTCCTGAAGCAAGCTCCCAGTCCACCTTTGTTCTTATCTGGCATGGCCGCACCTGCAGGTTTGCTTAGGTCGTTCTGATTTACGTCTGTTATCCCAGTATAATCATTAGCAGCATGACTCTAAAATATGTTTTGTTTGTATGATAAACTATAAGGTCACCTACTTATAACTCTTATCTCTCCTCCCTGTGTTCCATATTGCCGTCTGGAGGTCCCTATTAACATGTTCATGGGAGCCGAGATCATATCTGCTCATTTTTGTATTCCCAGTGCACACACTAATAATTAGTTATGAAGTGAATTCAGATAAGGAGGTGGGAAAGCTCTTGGAATCAAAGTCTACATTCTTAGATTTTTTTTGTCCCTAAAATCATTTGGTATTGCACCTGCCCATACCCGGTGCTTGATAGGTCTGTGGCTTTGATCAGATGTCCACAGGGTTATGCTCTTGCTTGGAGTTCGCTGGAGATGACTGGAGCGCAGATGAGACGTGGGTTCCCTCAATCTTCCCTTCTCAGCGCTTGCGAACCGATGCACGTTCCTGCCTGGGTTCGGGCGGGTCTGAAGGCCCAAAGAAGAAATGTCTTTGGAAAAATCCAAGGTTCTACATCCGGTCATATGTGTATGCTTTTAGTTGAATTGCATGACGGAAACAGGTCCACGGGGTAGAATTTAACCTTTCTCAATCCTGGGTCTCTCTGAAACTCGGATAAAAATGAATGGAGATAGAGGATATTTCAATTTATTGTTACGTTGATCTAACAGGACACGATACTTAACAAACTGTATTGAATTTTTAGTTTTATTCCATTAGTGTTATTTTGTTGGGGTTTCTAGCTGGGACGTGGACTCTTTTTTTTTTTTAATTTTAATTTTTTTCTTTATTGATTTTTAGAGAGAGAGAAAGGGAGAGGGAGAGAGAGATAGAAACATCCGTGAGAGAGAACATCGATTGGCCACCTCCGGCATGCCCCCCACATGGGATCGGGCCCACAACCTGGGCATGTGCCCTGACTGGGAATCAAACCGGTGACCTCTTGGTGCATGACCTCAACCACTGAGCCACACAGGCTTGGCAGAGACTTCAACTCTTATTTTATAACCTTTTATGATTCAATAACCCTACTTGATTTTTCTTCTTAAAATTTCTAAAAAGTTATGTTAGCAGATGTTAAAGGGATCGAAGGATATACACTTTCCCATTTTGTTTATTTCTTTGTGGAGTAGTTATGTAGATGACTTTATTTATTTATTTATTTATTTATTTATCCTCACCCAAGGACATTTTTCCATTTTTTGTTCAGATAGAGTGGGAAGGAGAGAGAGAAAGAGAGAGAGAGAAACATCGATGTGAAAGGGACACATTGAGTGGCTGCCTCCCACAGGGCCCAACCAGGGCCAGGGACAAACTGCAACCGAGGTACGTGCCCTTAGCGGGAACCGAACCTGGGTCTCTCTGGACCACAGGCCAACACTCTCACCGCTGAGCCAAACCGGCCAGGTCTAGATGACTTTAAACTTCCTGATTATGAGCAGACAGGAAGTTATCTGGGAAGTCTTGATTTCTAACTTGGAATCTTTCAGTCTATTTTGTAGTGTCTGAGCTCCACCTCACCACGTCCTGTGTTTTCGGGATGTCAGACTATTTGAATATGGGGGGGGGGGGCGCAAAAGTAGGTTTAAAGTTGTGAGTATGCAAAACATAGAGCTCATTCTTGTATCATTATTCATTAATTACTATATTATTTTCTCTGCGAACAACTATAAAGTTATTTTGCCACACCCTGTATAGAAGCATAGTACTATAGATTTAACCCAGAGATTAAATTCTGAACCCTATGTAAATGGGTCCTATGGAAAATTAGGGTTAAACTGCTGAAGGCCCTTAGAGTCTTATGAGAAAATCACTTTTCTACTCTGAACACAGCCCCGTGCCGGCCAACATTCCCTGTGACACCGTTGGTCCTTTGAAGAGACTTGTTGGTCAGGGCTTCTTTGCCAGGCTGGAGTAACCGTATTCCTTTTCACGTTCACTCTCTTTGTTCGAAAGAAGCCACAGAATCCCTCATGTGGGTTTGTCTCTTTCTCTCTTCTTAACCTAAGAGGAAGGGTTTCCCAGTCTCAGCACCACTGACATTTTGCACTAATGAGTTCTTCGTTGTGGTGGCCTTTCCTGTGCATTGTAAGACGCTTAGCAGCATCCCTGGCCTCTGTCCACTTGGTTTTAGTGGCATCCTCTGTCCCAAATCATAACAATAAAAAATATTGGCAGATACTGTCAAACGTGTCATGGGGTGGAGAGGACCCCGAATGGCCTCCTGTTGAGAACCACTGCCTTGGAGCCTCTGCAGAAAACTTTGCAGAACGTGGAAGAAGCAATGTCCTCAGAGAAGCACATCATTCCTGGGCCTTGCACACGTCACTGGACTTCTCTGACACTCATTGACTTTACCTGCAAAGTGGGGAGAATAACACCCACCTATTAGAGTTGTCGATTTCAACCACGGCAGGCATAGAACCTGCAGGTACACAGCGAGGTCCTGATACGTGGTAGTCACGGTTATTCCTAGTTGGGGAGTTCCAGCTAATTTTTTCCATATCGGTGATTCCAACTTACGTAAAGGTGTCTCTTTCTTTTTCACGCTGTGGACAGAACACGACGAATGTGGCAACGGGCAGCACAACTGTGATGAGAACGCCATCTGCACCAACACCGTCCAGGGGCACAGCTGCACCTGCAAACCGGGCTACGTGGGGAACGGGACCGTCTGCAGAGGTAGGCTGCTGCCCAGAGGGGGCGCCGTGAGCTGCCGCCCAGCCTGGGCTCTGGGTACTCCTGTGGCAGACTGCTTTCACCACTCCGGTGGCTGAGCACGGTCCCACTCGAGGTGTGTGCTTGGGGAGGAAGCCTAAAGTTTCAGCCGCTCACTGTGTTGGTAGCAGCCCAGCCATTCAGAGGCCAGTGCCTTGCTTCCATCTGTGTTGAGCATAAAATTCAAATTCCTCCCTTTGGTTCAGCGTCCGGTCCCTGGCTCCTCCCAGCTGGCCTCTCTCTTTTCTCTTCCCCACTCCTTTCTCGTGACCACATCATTCCTCAAACATGCCAACTGCATTCCTGTCCCTTCAGCCTCAGTGCTCATGGATGCAATTTTAGAATTTAGCATTTGTCTCAGAATTATGCTGCCTTGTCAAATAATATTAATTGCACTAGTTCCCTGAGTTTGTGTTTGCTGAGCCCTCTCCTGCCATTGTGTCACTTCACCTTTGTGGAATTTGAGAGTCCAGCTGTGGGAAAAATATGAGTTCAAATCATGCTCCTGGTGTCCACAGACTCTGGAAAGACACCTTTCCTTGAAAGTGATGGATTAGGGAAAATAATATTCTTACAGTGATTCTCATGGTCAATTGTGTTGCCCTCACTGAGGAAGGGAGTGTTGTTGGGGGCAGGGCAGTGTAGTTGAAGAATTGGCAAAGAAGTTGGAGAGTGGAAGTTTAGACCTGATTTTATCACTGCTGAGTTGGAACTTCTATATTTTTACATAGTAAAATTGGGTTAATACCACTTCTGTGTCTATCCAACCATGTTATTGCCAAGCATTATTAAAGGCGTCTATACCACAGAGGTTTAAACTATCAAATGCTATAACCAGTGAAGGCAGCATTACTAGTGGTGTGATGAGGAAGAAGGAGGAGGATCTGAAGTGTGGTCAGACCTCATTTCATTGCCTTTAGAGCACTTCACAGGGGTTGCACTTTTAAGAAACTGAAGAAAACACCTTCCACCTGCAAAATGATTGAGACACTTGATTGCAATCCTCATTTGATTGCCATCTCCCCTGGGTTACAGTGGTCTGGACCCTAACCTGCAGTGTCTCCTAGGTGTGCCTGTACCCAAATGTGTGTCTTGGTTTAGGGGCATGCATTTCAGAGGTGACTTTTCCACTTGTAACTGAAACATTTACAGAGGGAGGTGGACAGTGATAACCAGACAACTTGATCTTCTTCTTCTTCTTCTCCTCTTTTTGTCATGTGTAAGAGCTTTTCTAGACATGGTATTGTTCATGGAATTGACTCCATCTGGGTAGAAATAAACACCGTTCACACTTCTATTAATAAGCTAAACACAAGGCAGCTGTTTCTCAAACAAGGCTAGTGGGTGTGAATTCTCTCAGATGGGCTTTCCTGGGGGCTGACGCCCATGTGATGGTTTTTTGTGTTCTCACGTGGATGGAAGATAGCAGTTCGGCTTCAACAGCAGTCACAAGCATGTACACGCCAGACACCTGGCTGGGCGTGTTCGCGTATGTCATCTCATTGAGTTCCCACCATGACCCTGGGAGGTTGATAGCATTTTTCTGTTTCACGGGGAAGACTTGAATGAGACATAGTTCCATCCGATTTAACCCAGCTAGTCGACTGCCTTGCGTCTCTTCCCTCTTCTCCCTCCCTTCCCTGCCCTTCCTCTTTTTTCCCTTTCCCACCCCTTTTCTCTTCCATTTGTTTTCACTTCCTCTTCCTCCCTGCGTGTTCATCGTCTCTCTCTCTCTCTCTGTCTGTCTCTCTGTCTCTCTCTGTCTCTCTCTCTCTCGGTAGTCTAACTAGAGACTGTAAAGAAAATAAAGGAAAGAGAGCATGCAATGCCAATCTATAATTTAAAATGTTTTGCTGACAGTTTTGTAAACAGACTAAAGCACTTTTGAAAATAGGCAAGAGCTGCTGCTAAATATTTGGGGTTACGTGAGGAAAACATGTACAGACGGTTTCAGATCAGATTGCGTGCCCTGATGTGGGGTTGGGGGCGCCCGTGGGAGGGTCTGTCTGCTCACCCAGCCCTGCGTACCCTGGAACGAGGCAGGTGTCGATACGTAGCAGAGAGGCTGAGCCTTCGCTCTGCCCATCACTGGGGCTTGATGTGCTGACCCTTGAAAACGTGTTTGTATTAATGACTGGTAATATTGACATGCAGTTTATAAACATACAGTGAGTGTGAATTCTGTGTCTGGAGCCTCATTTCAGGCACCAGAAGACGGGGCTGCTGGAGATTTCACCATGTAGGGTGGGAAAAGGATTTGAGCAAATGCTTTCAACCCAGTAAAACAGTTTGCAAAGCGATACCATGTCACGGAAAGGGGCTTGTGGAGAGGTGCTTGTCATACGGAGCCCCGGGGAGGCGTGCTAGTGCCAGCACTCTGGTCTGCCGTCAGGAGTGGCTGGGCACCTGCAGAGCCCAGGGTAACACAAAAGTGGGGTCCTCGCTCAAAGAGTAGGAAAACTCTGCTGGCTGAAGGGAATAAAATGGAAAGCTTCCGCCATTCTTCTGCAATGTCTTTCTCAACCTGTCACGGCGCTTCTATTTGCTATTAGATGTCTCTCCCTTGGCCATGCAGATAGTCTTGGGGCGACTGCAGACCATCAGCGGAGCTCCAGGCTCGTCCCCCAACTTGGCCCATGGACTACAGGGCTCCCCTCTGCCCTGACCAATGAGCTCCGATCTGACTGGGGCAGGCAAGGCGAGTCAGGTAGGTGGGCAGCCCACGGGGACTGCAGCCTCCCCACCAGTGCCCTCGACACCCACAGAATGCACCCAGGTGCTGCCAGCTAGAGGTTGGGAGGACACAGCCGTGCTCCACCTGGAACCACCCAGAACACGCATGCCCAGACCCCCCCCCCCCCCCCGCCCCGTGTCTGTGCACAGGACCCTGCTGGGGACAGAGTATAGCAGTTGTCTGGGCAGGGAGGGAGAGGCTGGGAGGGGTCTAGGGCCCCAGGCATCAAGGCAATGGAGAGCTGAGATCCCATCCTAGAGATACAGGGAGGTGGTGGGAGATGTCGCTACACACGAGACGAGGCCCCAAACTCCAATGCATGCTCCATTGTCCCATGAGACCTCACTCACAAAACACTGATCAAAGATGAAGTTACCGAGACTCCAAGATGCTGACCACAGAGCATTAACCCCTGTAGGCCAGGCACTGGGTGTGTGCTCGTGAAGTGGCCATGTCTGCTAGCATCAGAGTGTCCAGAACCTAAGGCGGAACGGTGGCAGGGACCTAGGAACAGGGCCGCAGGAGCTGGCGTGCCCATAGGTCTCTTCTGTCTCCTTCCTGCTTCTCTGTGGATGGGCTTCGGAGTTCTCTCTCTCTCGATGTTAACTCATCCATGTGGTTGAAGATCACACCCTCTGCTTTGCAGGTTCAGAAACGGGGCTTCCTCGGGGTACCTCAGGTGATCACTATCTTAGGGACCAACACGTTCATTTATTACGTGAGCTGTCGTGGTTTGAGGGTGCCTCCCAATGACACCCTTGTTTTCCCCACCTGCATTCAGAACCAATGGAGAGACAGATAAAGAAATCAAGCAGGTGGAGACCAGCACGTCAGTGTCAATACTGATAAAGAGTGTGCCTGAGAACGTGGTTTATAGACGTGACGATAGTATTTATAATATTGAATCCTCAAATTAGGCTCCTGCAGCCAATCCCAGGGGCTCAGGCAGCCCGTGGAGCGTCTGCCCAGGGGCTTCCTCTGCACCCTTAGGGCAGGAGGAACAGCCCGGCCTGGATGCTCCTGCGGGCCTCCCGGTCCCTGGGGCGGTGAGGGAAGCGCTGGGCTCCCCGTGCCCAGTCCTCCGCTCCAGCTCACAGACAATCAGGGAAGAAGAGGAGGGTAGGCCGAGGGGCCGAGGGAAAATTGCTCTTAGGGAAATTAGATAAATCGAAAAGGAATGTACATACCCCAACTCCGCCAACACTTGGCGGAGGTAAGTGGGAAATCAGAGCCAAGGAGTTCGCTGGGGTTTTATTGGCTCACGATCGCGGCGTCTGCTGCCACCATCTCCACGGTAGGAACATTCCGGAGACTGCTGCAGAGCCAGCGTGATTCCTTGCTCCACATGCTTCAGCATGGAAGGAGACAGTGGGTGCCATCGCACGCCGAGTGTCCCCTTGATGTCCTGTTTTCCAGAGCAGTGGGTTCGTTAAACTTCCCTTGCCCCGTGTTTTATTTTCAAACCATGTGAGGGGGCTCTTTAATGACTTCACAGTTTGCGTCCATGTAGTTCCATTTTCCTTGCCCTTCAAGTCCTGGAGCCCTCCCCGGTCGGGCTGGTGAGCACCCTTCTCTGTGCATCAGACACCCTGCAGACACCCCTCCGGCCCGAGACGCCCATGCTGTGGTTGACTGTTCGCTTGTCTGTTTCCTGTGGGCCACAGCTGAGTGTCTGTTTAACCAACATTTAGCAAAAAACGGAAGATTTTATAGTGCTCAGTAGTTTCCCGAGGAGTGAACACATCAAGATTCCTTTCTATTAGAATATACGCTGTGTACCTAGGAGACTTTACATAAAAGCAAAAATCTGCCCAGGACACAGAGGTACTTGGGCCACTCCAGCCTTACCCCCCCACAGCCTGAGGACAACAGAGCTCCCAAACACAGATATGCACCCTGACTCAGTGTCCAGTCTGCATCTGCTATGGTGACTGGCTTGCCTTCTTCTTTTCCTTTGTTGATTTTAGAGAGAGAGGAAGGGAGAGGGAGAGAGAGCTAGAAACATTGATGAGGGAGAACATCGACTGGCTGCCTCCTGCACACCCCTTACTGGGGATCAGACCCATAACCTGGGCCTGGGCCCTGACCAGGAATCGAACTGGCGACCTCTTGGTGCATCGGTCAATGCTCAGCCACTGAGCCACACCAGCCGGGCATGACTGGTTTTCAAAGACAAGCATTAGAGTAAAACTCAGTTCACTGCTGAGGTTCCTGAGACCCAGGTGCGTGT